TCAGTACCCATTTATTCATGAAACACTTACTGCACATCAGACATTGTTTTAAATATTGTTGGAGTTGCAAATATAAATCTCAATTGAATCCTAACCTTAAAACTGTTCCTTGCTATTCACAGAGGGTTGGTTCCAGGACGCCCCGACAGATATCAAAATCTGCATATTTTGATAAAAATTATCATATAATTTTTTGCATATAGTTATATGCAAATACTATGCCATTTTATATAAGGATTTTTATATAAAATCTTTTAATATAAAAATTTTTATATAAAACCTTTTTATATAAAATTTTTTATATAAAATCTTTATATGAAGTTTTTTATATAAAATCTTTATATAAAGTTTTTTATATAAAATCTTTATATAAAGTTTTTTATATAAAATCTTTATATAAAGTTTTTTATATAAAATCTTTTTATATAAAATTTTTTATAAAATCTTTTTATATAAAAATCCTTATATAAAATGGCATAGTATTTGCATATAATGTATGCACAGCCCCCTGTATACTTTAAATCATCTCTAGATTACTTATAATACCTAATACAATGGAAATGCTATGTAAATAGTTGTTATAGGGTACAATTTTAAATTTGTATTATTTTTAGTTGTCTTATTGTTATTTTTTATTATTGATTTTTTTGAAATATTTTTGATTCACGGTTGGTTGAATTGGTATGGAAGGCCAACTGCACTGCAATATTATAATGGTGTAATTATATACTACTGTGATAGTGATAAATGTAAGTAAGTGTTCTATAAATATAAACTGCTATAAATAAAAGTTGTAATTATAGCCATTTCATATGCTATAATTACATATGCATATGTTACTCTTCTGCATTATTTGAAACCTAAATCTAAATCCACCTCCTCAGTGAAGCCTTCCCTGAATCCCCCAGGCTGAGTAAGTTGTCTATCCTCTGTGCACACATAAATTTGGAATTTGAATTGATGTAGTTTTCCTCTGTATAAATGCCGTGGATGTTTTTCTCCCTTACTACATTTGAAGCTCCATAGAGAAGAAACTGTGTCTCAGTTCTTTTTGTACCTTCACCATGCCTAGGGCAAGGAAAGATGGCAGTCGTGTTTGTTAAATGAGCACATAAGTGAATCAATAAATGATACAAGGTAGAAAGAGTATTTGAGGGGATTAGGTGAAATAATTTAAAAAGGCCAGGTGTGGGAGAGCTTTCAGTTACGGGTAACAGAATTCTGGAGTACATGTGAAAAACCGAAAGAGCATAGATTTTTATGTGACCTTAGGAAAGCTAATAGTAATAGCTAACATTTGTTGAGTGCTTAGTTACATGCCAGGCACTGTTCTACATGATCTTATTTACTCCTCACAGTAAGTGGATCCAGTTATTCCCATATTACTAAAGAGGAAGCTGAGCACAGAGAGGTGTCAATAAGACTGCACAGCCAGCCAATGGGAAGCCATGATTGAAATCTAGACATCTTTTTTTGAGAAAGAGTCTCACTCTGTTGCCCAGGCTGGAGTGCAGTGGTGGTTTCTCAGCTCACTGCAACCTCCACCTCCTGGGTTCAAGTGATTCTCATGCCTCAGTCACCCAAGTTATAGGCACAGTCCACCATGTCTGGCTCAGTTTTTGTATTTTTAGCAGAGACAGGGTTTCACCATGTTGGCCATACTGGTCTTGAACTCCTGGCCTCAAGCAATCCACCTGCCTTGGCCTCTGAAAGTGCTGGGATTACAGGCATGAGACGCTGTGCCTGGCCAGAAGTCTAAACATTTTTAATTGCTGTTACAGAGCTGCCTTTAGTTAGCTCTATCTAGGCAATTTATCTAAGCCTTAATTTTCATCACCCTAAAATGGGATCTGTTATCAGATTGTTGTGATTATTCAATAAAGTGTATACCTGTTTAGTATAGCATACAGCAAAATATATATCTCAATAAATGTTAATTCCTCTTTTTTAATCAGTCGAAGGTTTTGAAAAGTGGGTGAATAGGATACATAACAAGATGAGCACTATCCTTTTCATATAATCAAAAGAAGACTTGGAAATGTTTCCCTGGACTAATACAGCATTGGAATGTCCACTGTGAAATCATGTGAATTGGCATTACAGGAAGCCTAGAGGGTAGGATGTGCAAGAGACATGAAAAGGGTCAGCCTGATCCTTAGCATATATGTTGATTGGTTCCATAGAAAATGCATGAAAGCTTAGGCAGAATATTGCTTGAGTGAAGTCAGAATGGTGAGCCTCAAATTTGGATAGAAGCCTCTGGGGAGTCTGGATTTAGTAGGATTATCCTTACCAGTCATTTCCAGTTACATAGTGAGCCTCTATAATTAAGCAGGTGAAGAGGGTAAACGAACAGAGTTCCTTTTACACTTCACAATGAAAATCTGCTTCAGAAGAATTCAGAGTCACCACGGTATTTATGTCTGTAATCCTCTGATGGGACATGTAAACATGGTCAAATACTATTCTGAATGCTTCTGTGATGGTATTTTTGGATAGGATTTACATTTTTGGTTGGCTTTGGGTTAAGGAGATTACCCTGTATAATATGGATGAGCCTTATGTAATCAGCTGAAGTCCTAGAAGAAACAAAAGACTGACCTATTATAATCAAGAGGGAATTCTGCCAACAGTCTGCCTTAGGTGTTAAATGTAGTGTGGGCTCTTCCCCAGTCTAAAGCCTGCCTGCCCACCCTGAAGATTTTGGACTTGCCTGCCTCCATAATCACATGAGCCAATCCCTAAAATAAATCTCTTTCTCTTTACAGCTAATCCTCTATTTACTATGGTTCAACTTAGAATTTTTAATTATGGTGTGAAAGTGATACACATTCAATAGAAACCATACTTTGAATTTTGAATTTAGATCTTTTCCCAAGCTAGCAATATGTGGTACAGCACTCTTTCCTAATGCTGGGTAGCAGCAGCCAGCCATGTCTCCCAATTAGCCACACAAACACAAAAATAAACAACTAGTACTCGATAGTAGACTGTATTGCCAGATGATTTTGCCCAACTTTAGGCCAAGGTAAGTGTTCTGAGTATTTTTAAGTATGTTTAGTACGTTTTCACACAGCTATAAAGAACTACCTGAGACTGAATAATTTATAAAGAAAGAGGTTTAATTGACTCACTTCCACAGGCTGTACGGGAGGCATGGCTGGGGAGTTCTCAGGAAACTTAACAATCATAGTGGAAGGGCGAAGAGGAAGCAAGCATATCTTCACATGGTGGCAGCAGAGAGAAAGCTAGGGGAGGTGCTACATACTTTTAAATAACCAGATCTTGTGAGAACTCTATCACGAGACAGCACTAGGGAAATGGTGCTAAACCATTAGAAACCACCCTCACCTCCCACCAGGCCCTGCCTCCAACACTGGGAATTACAATTTAACATGAGACCTGGGTGGGGACACAGAGCCAAACCATATCAGTGGGCTAGGCAAAGTTATGAGGTTGGGTAGGTTAGGTGTATTAAATGCACTTTTGACTTACAATATTTTCAGCATGTGATGGGTTTAGTGCGATATAACTCCATCGTAACTGGATTAGCATCTCTCTCTCTGTACATCCTATTGGTTCTGTTTCTCTGGAGAACACTGACTAATACACAGGCATTCTCTGATTTTTTATTCAATGATTAAAGAATAAAACTTTGTGGTAGTAAAATGTATATTATTGTTAAAACACTGAAGATATATTTAGGTACAATCTCAAACTTATTTCCCACTGCAAAACCAAATGATTCATCATCTTTGTTTTGTTCATTCAGATGTAATTTAAAAATCTATGTTTATATTTATTGGAAATGGATAGCAGTCAACTTAATAAGTTATAAATTAGCCTTAAATTTCTCACTGAAAACACCTCTAGGCCATAGGATGGGAAATGTGGAATAGCAAGGAGCTGTCAGTGTCGTTTTGGAGAAGAAATTGCTGAGGCCAAAGTCCTTCTAGTACAGTTTTTTGGCATTTGGTTTTTCTGATTTACTTGCCACTCAAAAAGTGCTTAAGATTGTTTTAAGACCACATAAAATCAACTTAGGTTTTAGGAAAATGTTTCCATTTACCTTAAAAGTTCAAAATAAATTGTTACAGAGAACAACTAAAATGGAGAATAGAGAATGGAGAGAAATAGACTTCTGAAGACAAAAATTCCATTTACCTGTGATTTTGAGGGGGGTCAATCTTAGCGATTAGTAATGTTATCTTAGTACTTCTCAAACTGAGGTGGTAATCCATGAATATATGGAAAGTTATAGGATAAATGCAGTCCACTTTTCCCTAAGGACAATTTTTCAGTTTTATTTGAAAAGATTATAAAATGTGCCTGGTCAGCGACTCAAAACTAATATTTCATATTAAAACAAAAATCAGGCGGGGCGCGGTGGCTCAAGCCTGTAATCCCAGCACTTTGGGAGGCCGAGGCGGGTGGATCACGAGGTCAAGAAATCGAGACCATCCTGGTCAACATGGTGAAACCCCGTCTCTACTAAAAATAAAAGAAAAACATTAGCTGGGCATGGTGGCGCGTGCCTGTAATCCCAGCTACTCAGGAGGCTGAGGCAGGAGAATTGCCTGAACCCGGGAGGCAGAGGTTGCGGTGAGCCAAGATCACGCCATTGCACTCCAGTCTGGGTAACGAGTGAAACTCCGTCTCAAAAAAAAAAAAAAAAAAAAAAAAATCAACAGTTTATGGAACAGAATGCAAAACTTGCAAAAATTTTTTTTATAAAACTTTGAAGGAAGTTTGCACTTACAAATGAATGGCTTCCATTGGTTCCTAGCCACTATCTACTCTGTTATATAGGTTAAGGCTGTACTACACTGTCCTCAGCAGTACGCTTTTGGTGGAAAACATTTCAAAATCACGGTTTTGAAATAGACTGACTAAAGAAGGTGACAAGCACTGAAGAAAAGAGAAGAGAATCAGCTCCATTTGAGAGCTCCCTGCCCTTCTTTGAACTAGAAAACTCTCAAAGATGAGGCAATAGAAAGTAAAAGCTATGAACAGAGTGGTTTAATGAGACTATTTTTTTGTTTGTTTGTTTTTGCTTTTGTTTTCCCATAAATGCCATCTTTTTGGTAAGTGTTATTACTACAGCCTTATTTTTTTAGTTTTGATTTCGAGAACTTTATTGAGAATGTCTTATTCCAAGTGTCTACATGAGTAATCATAATTACTCTTCTCAACTTTGAGACAGACATAATAAATAATGTAGTAAACAGCATGGATATACCCTCAGGTCTCGAAAACCTATGGTTTTGGCACAATGCCATCCCAACTTCGACCATCTTCATCCTCCTGCTTTAACCAGGAAAACATATTTACTGGGCAATAGACATGTCAGAAGTGAAGGTATTCACACCCAAATAATACTGTGCTGTTGTTTTCAAAGCAATCCACGTTTCATGAGCCTGCAAGAAAAGGAAACACAAGTCATCATCTCTGAGTATGTAGAACACATCTTGCATCAGTTATTCTGATTATCATACAGATATTCCGAAAAGATGAGAATATAATGGAAGAATTGTACCAAATAGAGTTTGGTTTTCATACCTTTAATTATCTGTTTATTTCAATGTTCAAGTGTTTTTGCAATGTTTGTGGGGCCACAGTATAAACTAATGTAGTAAAGTCTTGTTACATTACATAGTGCCTGTCAGTTGGCACAAAACTCTTCTACAAGTAGAGGCAGGAGTGTACCTGAAAATGTCAACATTCTATGAAGAAGACATAGTCTACCAGCCTATTCATTACTTAATTGACCAAATAAACAAATGTCTTGTTTTAACAATGCTAAATGATACCTATTGGACAAAACAGCCATAAAACTAGATGCATTATTCAGTTAGTGGTTTTCACCAGCAATGGCTAAACAAGCAGATCCTGGTAGACCTGTTAAGACCCAGTCATGTAGAGTAAGGACAGGGTCAAGGCTCATGAAAACAAGAACATTCAACTTCTGATGACGTTATACAATCCTCATGCCTGATGATAATTAGAGCCTGATATATGTGGAAAGAAAGAAAGAATAAGTGAAAGAATCCATTCATTCATTAATTCATTCATTATATAGCTTTGTTTCCTAAATTGCTAAATTGTAAGAGGGAGATCATGAGTAATTGAAGTCCTCCGATAATTCAGTAATTTCATTTGGCCTGGAGTTTTAACATCATCTTCTATCAGAAAAGTAAACGTAGAATAAAAAAGGCCAATGCAAGTTTCTTCTTTATTTCTCTTACAGCGAGAATGCGAATGAATAGGAAAATGTACAAAAGACAAGCAAATGGAGGAACAACATTAAAGCCTTGGATAATTATCACAGAGGAAATTCAGCTACTGAACAACTGAAAGTGAACTAGAGTCTGACCACTATCCATTCCTCCATCTACATAAACGTGTAATAATTTATTAAGCTTTGACTATATAACAGTCATTTTGCTAGTTTCTGAGAATTTACCTTGAAGGATAAGATACAGACCCTACGTTTATAGTCTAGGTAGGTAGGTTGGGTAGACAAAACAGGTAATTCCAACTGACATTTTGAGAGCTCTCCACATGTGAAACAGCATGAAAATGGAGAGACGGAAAGACAAATGTCACCATGAGAAGGGAAAGGCTTCAAAGGGGACAGGGCATTTGAGTTTAGTCTTTAAGCAAGAGGCAGAGTTTACGAGGCAAAAACCAGTTCATGGAGAGGAAAAAGCAGACATAGCTCAAGAGTGTCTAGCGAGGAAAAATCAGGGCTAGGCTAGTGGTGTGTTTAATTAGTGGTCGGCTAATGCAATGACTACTTAAAAAGATAAATGGTGAAGGACCATTTGTTTCTAATACAAATACCTGATTGGCCAGTGTGTTTTTCCACACATTTGAACTGTGATCTGGGTCCCAGAAATCAGGTAAATTTACGTGTCTTTTGAGACGTAGGAACTGGTTTGCAGGGTCCTCCAACAAAAATGGTGCTCCCAACGCTCCTGCAATTTAGAGTCCAAGAACACAGCATCTTTTAGAGCAACAGTTTACATCTCAATGTTTCCTCTTCAAGAGACACCGCTGTGGTCTTTGGTAGGCTGGGGGCCTGAGGAGAAAACTCTGGAGAAGCTAAGCTCTGAATGAAACAGTTAATCCTTGGCCCTTTGTCACCACTGTATGCTCACCACTCAATTTGACCTGCATTTAGTTCATCTGGGAAGCCAGTGCTATGTGGTGATCGCAGCAGGGTTTCAGAGCTTCCATATATGCATCGGGACCTGGATTCAAATTCGAGCCCTATCACTTTTCTGGGAAAGTTGCTTGATATCTTTGCACTTTAGTTTTCTTGCATGTTAAGGGGTATAATAATACACACACACTTGCTGTAAGGACTGGATAAATTAATGGATGTAAACCATCTGTCAAACTAGGCAGACAACTATCTTATTCTTGCTTTCCTAGCCCTCCAAAATAGAACTGATCTTTTTGTTTGAACTAGACTGCTCCCAAATCTGACACTGTGGTTTAGATTGTTGGTACTGATAGATTCATCATCAAATCAAAGCACCTTGTATTTTGCATCTCCTTCCTACTCCTGGATTAAAAAGAAAAAAAGAAATCATAATTTTAAAAATCCAGACTTTTTGAAGATCTTGAAATTTTAACAATCGGTGTTGTGTTTTCATTCTCAAGTAAAACACAACTGCGTTCAGAATTATAACTTGAATCAATGCAAAGGAAGAGCACATTTTCTCCTGACCTATAGGATAGGACAACAATACAATCTGTTCATTGTGATAAAGAAACATTTATTACAACATCTAATTGTGAGTAATGTTACATTAGGCACTTAACCTAATTATTAGCAGTCCTCTATTGGCCAACCCTCTGTATGAATCTGGGTTATAGCAAGCTATACAGTATGAAAATTCGCCTCTATAGGGTTTTCTGTTTAGTTGGGATCCAGGGTCAAAGATAAAAGACAAACTGAGGCAACACAGGATTTGATTGCACTAAAGGAATTTAGGAGAAGGTGTTGTTATTGAGCACTAAGACACTGAGGTACAAGTAGACGTTTTCACGGTCAAGGAAGTTGTTTCACCTGCTCCTTGAAAGAAAAATTAGATTCAGCTGGATGGGAGAAGGGGAAACATTTTTTTAAAATTTAAGCCAGAGAAATGATGTGTTTTACTATCTCAAAACAATAGTCAGAAGTGGCTAGATAGAAGAGTTTTATATAAAAAATAATAATATTAGTTAACATTTAAACTTAGAAGATATTGGTGACAGATCCCAGAAGTAATACCGTTCTGCTGCTAGCTAATCCAGTTTAGCATAATCCAACAAGCATATCTGTGGAAACCATCTTTTAAGGTGGCTCCCAAAGATTACTACCTCCTGCTATTCATATTCTTGTGTAGTAGTCCCCTCTTTCATTTAATAGGGTTGACCTAAGTAACCATAGGATACTGTGGAATGACTATGTGCAATTTTTGTGGCTAGGACATAAAGGACATTACAGCTTCTGCCTTGCCCCTCTTTTGGACCACTTGCTCTGAGAAACGTCAGCTGCCATGTTGTGAGGGCACTCAAGCAGCCCTGAGGGAGAAGATCACATGACAAGGGAATGATGCCTCCCACCAACAGCCAGGTAAGTGAGCCACCTGGGAACCTGATGTTTTTGCTCCAGTCAAGCCTTCAGATGACTGCAGCCCCCACTGACATCTTTACCGCATCATCATAAAAAATCCAGAGCCACAACCACTGAGCTAAGCTACTCCCAAATTCATGACCCTGCAGCTGCAATAATGTTAGTTGTTTTAAGTTGTTAAGTTTTGGAAAAATTAGTTATGCAGTAGTAGATAACTTATAGAATGCATTATATGTACTTACTGATGTCAAGGTAAATTGCTAATCACAGGAGCTGGGACTAAGTTGAGGCAAGTGAGACACCTAGGATAGGGCACAAAATACAAGAAACTCACTTTCAGGGTTATATAAATTTTGTGCCATAAGTTCTCCACTTCCCTCACCCTAGTCCCTGCTTTATCATCACCGCATGGAAAGATAAACAAAAATAACTCTTGCTAATCACTACTGCATGCAAAGATAGACAACAAATAACCCTTGCCATTAAATCATTCACATTATAGTCAGAGTTCATATATAATTATCAGAAGACATGTTGTGATCAGACCATCCATAGTTGGAGCAATTACTTTTGATAAAATGTCATGGAGACCTCACAGAGAAATTCATTTTGAATTGGGCTTCAAAGATATGTTACGTCTCAACAATGAGGATGAAGGAATTGGAAGCAAGGCACATATATTCCAGGCTGAAGGAGACCGGAGAGTAAGGAATGGAGGAGCAAAGGAAGATTCAGGGTTGGTGACTTTCGCTTTGCCAAAACGATTGAAAGGTAGGGTTGTAGTGTAGATGTGGTCAGAGAGAACATTGGAAAAGTAAGTTGGAGCTTGATTCTGAATGATTTTAACTTTTATAGCAGGGAGTTTGGACTTCACTTTAAATAATTAATGATCATTTCTGAATAAGAAAATGATAGGAAGGACCAGATGTACTTTTTAAAAACATTGTTTGTATTGTGGTAAAAAATACGTAACATAAAACATGCCATTTGAACCAGCTTTGAGTGTACAATTCAGTGGTATTAGGTATATTTACAATGTTTTGTAACCAGCACCACTATCCATCTCCAGGACTATTTCATTGTCACAAACAGAAACTCTTACTCTTTAAACAACTCCCCATCAACCCCTACCCAACTGCTGGTAACTACTATTCTACATTCTTTTCCTATGAATTTGCCTGTTCTAGGCACTACATGTAAGTGGAATCATACACTATATCTGGCTTATTTCACATAGCATAATGTCATCAAAGTTCTTCCACATTGTGCCATCAGTATTTCATTCCTTTTTAAAACTGAATACAACTTATGTATTTAATATATATGTATATATACCACATTTTGTTTATTCATTCACAGATTTACTCTGAAAGACCCTTTTGTCAGTTGTGTAAGGACAGATAGTAAAAGGAAGAGAAGAGCAAGGGACATGAGATCAGAGTCTATTCAATAGTCCAGATGAGAGATAAGGAGGGCCTGAATCTGGTGAATGTGGGGTGGGAAGACAGGATTGATTTGAGGAAGATGGGAGGAAGGAACCCACGTTCATTTGGGCTGACCAGTGTGAACTAACCAGCTTTGATTTTTTGCTTTTAGATGAAATGCCCTAATGGGTCACTTTTCAGATTTCTCATCATTCTCTTTGAAGAAAAGGTGTTAGTTACAGTGTTACATATTTTATGTGTTATTATTCTGTTAATAAATCAGTGTTTTTTTCAAAACAAAATTAGTGGGTATGCAAAATAGATCCAATTCCATCAATAAACAATAAATAGCTCTAAGTGATGCTTAGGATATAATTTATAGCTATGTAGTGAATCTGTGGTAATTGCTTAAGATAGTGTTAATTGATTTAAAAGTAAATGCTTTAAAAGTAAAACCAGAATTTTGTACCATAGTCATCCTGGTGCATTATATGATCACTAAGAAAAAAAAAATGCTATTACATAAATCTTGGCAGAGAAGTATGCTTTAAAATATACACCATGGCTATTTTAAGCTCTAACAATTCTGTCTTTTGTAAGTCTTTTACCTTTTTGCTCCTGGAAAATGTTTTACCGATACAATCTCCTTCTCCTCCCTAGGACAAACCACTTACCTCAGCATTATAAGCCCAACAGGCATCCAATAAATCTTAATCGATGGTGATGATAACATCACCCATGAGAGACACAGAAAGTAGTATTTATTATCCTACTTTACAAATTGAGAAAATTGACACGCAGAGCTGAAATGACTTACTCAAGGTCATATAGTAAGTCAGTGGCAGGGCTGGAAATAAAAATGCAAGTAATATAGAAGGGCAGGCTATTATCCTCTCTGCTTGAGAAGTTTCTCCTCCCTTTTTCATTCTGCCTGATCAACCTTGAAAGTTAGTGAGAGCAAGACCAGGGTTTGCATTTGTGAACCTATTTAATATTGCTGGGTCTTGAAAAAGGAACCCTGACTTTTATCGCTTTGTTGATTTTTAAATGAGTGTGTTTTTTTTTAAATGTAGGCAGTATCAACCAGGTTAATGCCTTTCTTAAACTTTATGATCATCAGCTATGAAAAATATCTTTCTCTCTTTCTTTATAACTCCCTACACACGCCCCTTTTTTCACCCCACATCATAGTCAACTTTAATAGGATCTGTAAATATTTTGTCTACATATTTCTCGAATATCCTCTGCAGAAAATTCTGTACAGTAGAAACAAGGCAAACACTTCAGAGAATAAAGCAAACGCTATTTGGGATCACAGCTCTCCTTACACAAGCCTAAAAGGATCAGAGACCCAGAGTCTTCTCTTGGCCTTATCAGTAACCAGCTGGGTCATTGGCCACTTCTTATTCCTGCACTTCCATTTTTTGGTCAGTGAAACAAATCTGGATTATGCAACCACTAAGATCTCTTCCAGATCTAATATTTTGATCTGGAATGTATTAATAACAAATAGGTCATTAACCAAAAACTACTTTCTATGCGTGGTATCGTGTTATTGAAAACACAGAGAATAAGCTAAGTGGGCAAGTTTCCTACTACTTTCTTTATTTTATTTTATTTTACTTTAGGTGCATACTATATCTGGCATTTCTCCCCAGGTTCCTAGTACTTTCAAGGAACTTATTGAAAAATTTAGCACTGTGACAGTCAGAAATAAGTGAAAGAAAGGTTAAAGTAGACTTACCCAATAATTACAGCAAAACAGATAAAAATGTACTCACATTATGAACAAAGGGGGGAGTGCCTACCATAGGCTAATGAGCAGTATGAGAATAACAAAAGCTGCATCATTAGAAATGAAAGACTCTCTATGTTACTAGCACCCCTGGAAAGCTGAAAAAAACTTTCAACACAGTGGTTGGGGAAA